GTTATGAGCGGGGCGGAAGGTGATTGGGGTGATGTGATGATTCCGTGACGACCGTGGTGGAGGGGTGGGGCCGAGATGATGCTGTGAGTCCGGGTGAAGGTTGTGAGCGGGGTGTGGTGTGGGTTGGGAGCGGAGCGGATGCCTGAGGGGTTGGTTGGTTGGTTAGTGGATGGTGGAGGGGGGAAGGTTGGGTTGTTGAGGGTGACATACAACCTACGGCCGCGGCAGACAAAGCCCGGGATGCAGCAGCCGCCTCCGAGATTGCTCCCCGCAGGGGGTGCTGCCGTCTGCGCATTCGGATATCCCGCCGTTGCATGTCGCGCCCGCCGGGCAGCAACCCACAGGCCCGAGCCCCGTGTCGGTCACCTCCATGCATTTTTCGCCCTCCCCGCAGCAGCTGTTGGGGAACCCGATCGAGGAGCAGCTGGTTGTCCCACCCGGGCATGCCCACTGGCGCTTCTCGAGCAAGGAGAAAGCTAACGCGGCCCGGCGAAAGAGGCTCCCTGCTGGTGATGTGCTCTCGTCTTGGAACTCTGGGTCGGAGAGTAGGGCAAACGGTGGGCGGGGAAGCAGTTCTGCCGATGCGTTGGCCCATATTTTGCGAGCATCGTCTTCGTTGTGAACGTCACGAGCTGCTATTGCTGCATGTGGTTGATGTGATGCTGGGGCAAAGGCTTGGTGGTCTTCGAAGGCGCAGTATTCGTGGTGGAACTTGGCGCCTTGGTCGGGGGGCATCTTGCGAACAGCCGTGGGTGAGGGGTGCCGTGAGTCAACTTGAGCCTGCTCACGGGCCTCGATTTGCGCCGTCAGGAGAAGCCATAGTGAAAGCGGCAGAGAACGCATCTTGCTCTTCGGTTTTTGGGCTGTCGAGTGACTGCCCAACTCGGGCGCAATTCGTCGTTGGTCGGAGCGGGAATTGGCAAAAATCGGGGGTTTTAGACCGTCGGAGGGTCATCTATTATCGCATAATGTTGATTAATTGGATTTTGCCGGTGCTTGTTTCGTCGTTGCGGCTGTCGGGTGCCAGTTGCCGAGTTCAAAAAGTACGAGTTGTGGCATTGTTGACATTCGGTTGTACCGACGACGATGGTTGGATAAAAATCATCGCCAAGCACGGCGGGCCGCTCACCCCCTGAGTGGTTGGCTGATGTTGCCCCTGAGAGCCTGCATGACGGGATCTTGGTACGAGAGAAACCGTCTACGAAATATTCCTCCGAGGTTCCATTGTACAAAGTACGGAAATATATTGTACGAATATACATTCTCTGTTATGTTCAGGCGCCTTCCTTGAAGTTGAAGGTAGTCACAATCAAGCCGTTCAGCAGTGATGGTTGACAGAATCGACTGGCCCTTGAGTCGCCGTCTATCCATGCTGTATATATAACTATGTGTTGTTTTACAAATAACCCCCTTCATACGCCCGCCCTCTATATAGCACTTCTATCCCGTCCCATGCACACCATGAAGGGTATCTTATCATACACATAACACCACATATGTATCATACAATACAACCACCTACCACAAATTCTCCTTCACCCCCTCTCCACCCCCTCCCAGCCCCTTCAACGCCCCAAACCCTCCCATCTCCCTGCTCACCCCACTCAAAAACGCCGAGCACAACAACCCGACCGCCACACTGACATTCAAACTGTCTACCCCACTCCCGGGCATGGCCAAGTTCGGAACATTGACCTCATAATCCGCCTTCTTGACCACCAGCCTACTCAACCCCTCGCCCTCATTTCCCACCAACAACACGCACGGCTCCCGCTTCAACGGATCCGTCTCGGTCACATCGCGCACATCGACATGGCGGCGCTGCCTCCTCTCGCTCGACGGGCCCTCCGCGACGGCCGCGTACACGGCCCAGCCATTGGCGCGGGAGGCGTTCAGAAACTCGGGCAGGGACGAGACGGAGAAGAGGGACAGGGACTCGGCAGCGCCCGACGAGGCCTTGAGCGCGACGGGGGTCAGCGGGGCGGAGCCGTGCCGGGTGATGCCGACGGCGGTGGCGCCCAGGAAGCTGGCGGTACGCAGGATGGCGCCGAGGTTGCCCGGGTCGAGGATCTGGTCGAGGATGAGGACGAGTGGTTTGTGCGTGGGGGAGAGGGTGGGGATGGAGGTTGGGTGGCCGTTGATGGCCGCTTCTTCGGCGGATTGGTGGCCGAGGGTGATGGCGCAGCGAGGGTTGCTGGCGTAGTCTTCGGGGACGGGCGCGAGGGCGGTGAGGGGGGGTTGCGGGAGCGGGGAGGCTTCGAGGACGAAGCCGTTGTGGGGGCGGGAGCTGGCCATTTTGTCGAGGAGGCGCATGCCGTCTTCGCCGAGGATGGTGGTGGGGATGTTTTTGCGCTTGGCAAAGGCGTGGAATCAGGGCGTCGTTGGTGGGGCTTTTGCCGGTTGGCGCCGCCGTAGACGTAGAGGTGGTAGAGCTAGCGCCAGAAGAAGCGCAGAGCGGCCTCGACCACGGACTTGCCGTAGAGAAACTGAGAGGCTGCCGTCGTGTAGGTGATGGAGAAGAGCGCCTGATCGGTTCTGAGTGAAGAAGTATCTTGCTCCGGGTGGGGTGCGCCTTCAAAATCTCGATCGTACTCCCTGTCCCGGCGAGGGGAGTCTCTGGGTGCGAAGCTGTCTCGCTCCGGTCGGGGAGCATCTCTGAACCTGCGGTCGGTGTCTCTGTCTCGGCGGGAAAAATCCCGGGATCCGTCTCTTTCTTGCCGAGGAGAGGGTCTAGGTCTTGCAGAGGTGTCATGGACGTTGAAAGAGGTGTCATGGGCCTTGGAAGAGCTGTCCCTAGTCTTGAACGAGGAGTCTCTGGAAGCGTTTCCGCTTCCAAAGCTGTCCCTGGTTTGAGAAGCGTCTTTGCCCCCGAAGCTGTCTCTACCCCGGGGAGGGGCGTCTCGGTGTTTACCAGCGGCAGATGTACTTCCGGCACCGTCTCGACTACGGGATGGAGCATCTCGACGGCCGCCATCACTGCTGGAATGTGCAGGTTGTGATAGCGCGGCTATAAAATCGGCGGCATCGACCATGTCTCTATCACCTTTTCCGTCCCGACGCCGCGCTGATTTTCGGGCAGTCCGGCGAGGCGCCTGCAAGTCTGGCCGTAGTCCGGTGCGTTCAAAGGCTGAGTTTGTGGACCCGCTGTCTTCCGGCTGTAAAGCTTTCAGTTCCTCGCTTAACTGGCCCGTCTTCATCTTGTAAACCAGGCTCTTCTTGCCGAAAGATGACTTTGGATCGTAGAAACGGGCCTGGCGCGATTGCGCTTTGGCCTTTTCCGGGTACATGGTGATGTCCTTCTTTCCCTTGCGGATCTTGAAATTCGGCCGCTGCTTGGCCAGCTCTTGCCTGGCCTTCTTCCTCTCGGCGTAGTTCAGCCGCTTTCCGCCTTCTGCGAGGTCATTGAACTTATCGGACCGGGCACCCTGTGGCCGGGCCTTTTCGGACCGTACCAGACCTCTGTTGATAGCGGAAAGAGAGGCATGTCTTGCTGGGAAAGCCGTGAGTGAGATTCGTGGTATTGAATTGGCGAGTAGCGAGGACCTTGCTGCCCGGTAAACAAGCGATAAACTCATGTCGTCCGATCGCTTGACCAAAAGCTGACGTCTATCCAAAGTAGTCCTATTTTGAGTGTGTATTGTTGAGTCTGTGTTGGATATTGTATTAAGTAATCACAACAGAACCTCGATCCGTTTGAACTAAAACAATGACATGAGGACCGGAGGCGGTTGCCAGAATGCACAAAATGGTTGAAAATTTCAAGATAGATTAATATCGTTGATGGCTGACCTCGTTTGCTTGACCGAAAGAAAGAAAGCCCAAGAAGAAAGAGCCTTCACTCACAAACTGTTTGGGCCCCTGTCACCAAAAAAAAGTTTCGAGAGCCAGCAACCTCTGGCCAAAAAAAGTTGAACTCGCACGGGGAGCAAGCAATCAAAAAAGAGACAGAAATAAGAACAATCAGGCAAAGAAAAGGGCGTAAAAGAAATCGAGTAAAATCGATCAGGTAAATTAAATCGAGAAGAATAAAAAGTAGGCTTTGGATTTCTGAATGGCTTTCTTTTCGTTCCTCTAGTCGAAGGTTTCGGCGGTATGTACACTTGGAGTTCAGCTTTATTTCGGCCATGAGCAGCAGCAGCAAACGGATCCAATGCGGCAAGGCCCAGACAACTGAGTTGGGGCCCCGCCTATCCAGCCCCGGCATCCAATCGGGAGTCAACCTACCCCGTCACATTTTCCCTGTTCGCCAGCACAGTGCGTGTAATGTAACCGTCAAGCGCGTGCTCTTTAACAGCGTCGTCGCGTCTCGGCGACTTCGAGAACATTTGCTGCACCGATGCGCCGACCATCCTTGCACATGCGCACTTTTTTGCCTGGCGGTGCTCGGTACGTAGATGATCCAGATCCTTCAATAATGAGATATCTAACCTATTATTTTCTCCCCGAGAAGCAATCTAGGCTGTCCCCGGTGTCTCCTCGGAGCGTGACCCCATTCGAGCCATCACAGAGATGGTGACTACAAACGGTTTCCTAAGCGACGACGACGAATTATTTGTCAATGGAGCTACCGAAGAGCCAGCTCCGTTTACCTTTCAATCCTACCGTAGCGACGACGGCGATTCGCCTGATCCCTTGACCCTGGACGAAATCGTCAAAGTTTCCCTCGTAGCCCTAAACAGCTTTGCATCACCCCCACCAGACGAGAGCGAGTCTACGCCGACCACAGAAGGGGGGAAGACGAATGGGGACATTGGGACGCCCGCCGAAGAGTCTTGGAACGGCGCACGGCATGTCGACATCGAGGTGCAGTTACCATGGATACCGCCGGTGCAACGAGTCGGATACCTGAAGTTGGAAGTGGACGACTACCGGGCCGAAGACCACGACTACTTGAGGACGAGGAGACGACGTAGGGTAAGTTATAGTTGACTTTTGGTTGTGGCTGCCTGCTCTGTTCTGCCTTTTGGCCATGGGACGATGTTGGCTTCGGATGGAAGGGGGTAATGGGGATGTGAAGGAGTGCAAAGGGACCACTCGAGCTGCCTGGAGTTCTGCCTGGAGTTCTGCCTGGCGTCCTGCCTCTAGAAACCTTGGGCTCTGAGGTATAGGAGAGACTCTCAAGGTACACAAGCCCACGGGAAGCTCCACGGGGGAAAGGGCAGCGCTTTTCCTGCTGCTGCCCAAACCACACTAGGCGGGCTCCGAGGAACCCCTTCCTTCGATATGGAGGGTTGGTACGCCACGAAACTTGGAACCGTTTCCCGGTGCTGACACGATTGGACACTCCGATGAGTTGACCAAAGAGCCATCTCGAGAATTCCGAGGACGGTTTTTTCAGCCAGACAAACCGTGCCTTGTCACTTGCCTCCCCGGTTCCAAATCCGCATCTTCACATCTCCTTTCTTCCGTCCCCTTTCTCTCTCCTTGAACAGTTTTTCCGGCCCACCACTCTACAAATATTATTTCCTTTCGCACAATATTCCTCTCTCCGCCATCAACTACCATCTTCAACTCGCAACGCTGGAGCCGATCGCAGAAACCTACGCGATCGGTTTTTACTAGTGTTGGCCGGACTAATCACCCGTTACTTTTGTTATTCTAACGATCGTTTCCATCACCTTCACTTCATCATTCTCCCATCTCTTATCGCGCCGTAGCGACGAAGTGGTCATAGGCCGTTCTACCGATCGCCATCATGGTAAGAAGCTCACAAGGCAGCTAACTTCATTTGAGTAGAGAGCGGGTTTTGCGGTCGCCGTTCCAGATATCGCTTGCTTGGCCTATTTAGAAAGCGATATTTTGTCTCGATACGAGTGCTAACTTGGTCGGTAGGATGGCGAATCCGATTATGCGGAGCAGTTTGGCACCCGTAAAAGGAGACGGGCTGTTGATGCCGATTATGGCAACGAAGATGAATTCAATGAAGACTCCGATGATGACATGGAAGACGTGCACCGTCCTCGCCAGAAGGTAAGGCCAATCGACAGCTTCTTGGAGGCTAGCAACCGCCGACGCAGCACTCGCGCGAGTACGCGAGAGAGCACACGCGCCAGCTCACATCTCGTGTCCAGCGAGGGCGAGCACGGGGCGGAGACAATACGGGGACGAAATCTGCGGCCCAGAGCCAGCATCGCTCGCAATCTTGGCTCTCGATACGACGATAGAGATGAGCTCCAAGTCTCAGACGGAGATGCTGATGACCCAACATTCGCCTTTGTCCAGTCTGATATTGTCAAAGCCAAGAGGAGGCGCCTAAAGAGGGGCACTGCTCGAACACGGCAATTGGCCCTCCGCCAGGCGATCGGTGGTGACTCGGATATCGAGTTTGAGTCTCGACGCCGTTCAGCGCGAGCCAGCAGGTCTACTCGGCTCATGACGGAAGGCTATATTGACGACGACGATATTTTCTACAACGAAGAAGAGAATACCCCAGCAACATCCAAGGTCGCTAGTGTGCGAGAGGTCTTCAAGACGGCATCCTACGAGTTTAAGGAAGCTCATCGGACCGTCTGTGACTCCTGCGGCTACGCCGAGGACCATAACAAGGGGCCCATGATCAACTGCCAGGGCTGTTCAAACTCGTACCACAAGGGTTGCCTCGGCAACCGCAGCTCCCGCGACCACCGGGTCACCAAGGTGGCAGCTGATTCCTTTGTGCTGCAATGCAAGTTCTGCATTTGCATTTACCGGAAGAAGGATGCCCGTGCTCCAGGTCACGACCTTTGCCAGGGCTGCCATACAAAAGGCCAGTCCTGCGTGCCTTTCTCAGAGAGAAAGACGCCCAAGCAAGAAGAAGCCCTGCGCAATGAGAACGATGGCGTGGACCCCATCACGCCTGTCGACCCAAAGCTGGTCAACAACCCAGATAATGTGATGTTTCGCTGTGGCCGCTGTCATTGTGCGTGGCACTACGAACACCTCCCTCACCCCAACAAGTCTCGCGACCCGGCCCTTGATGACCCGCTCAACTTGCGCAAGCATCGTCGTGAGGAGTACCAGATCACATGGACCTGCAAGGCTTGTCAGGACACCGAGGAGGAAAAGGTGGACAGGGTCGTCGCCTGGCGCCCACTGGACCCCAAGACTTACCACGAGGGCCAGTCCATCACCGACTTTGGCGAAGACAGCCTCGACTATCTCCTCAAGTGGGAAAACAAGTCATATAACCACTGTGTGTGGATGCCCGGGCCCTGGTGCTACGGGGTTGTCAAGGCGGCCATGCGGCAGGCCTTCATCAAGCGCACTTTTGGCGACGCCTCCGATGAGGGCATTGACGGCGAGCGGAAGAATACCGACTCGCTCCTCAAGTGGACAGATAAGGAGGCCATTCACGACGTTTGGGTCACGCCTGACATCATCCTCGACGTCCACTACGGGCCGAGATCGCGCGAAGACGACAAGAAATACAAGGCCAAGTCTGCCAAGGACAAGTTCGAAGACGATCTGAGTCGCATCTACCATGTCATCAAGATTTATGTCAAGTTCGAGGGCCTGGGCTACGATGACGCCGTCTGGGACACTCCTCCGGCTCCTGATGCGGGACCCAGGTACGACGCCTTCTGCGAGGCATACCGCGAGTTCCTCAACGGCAAGCATTTCCAGTCTGAGCCCTGGACCACCATGAGAGACCGGATCGAGGATTTCCGCCAGCGCGACTTCCGCACCGATATCGAAGTCAAGGAGCAGCCCAAGGGTTTGCAGCGGGGGAAGCTCATGCAGTACCAGCTTGACGGCCTCAACTGGATGCTCTATAACTTCCGGGAGGACCGCAGCGTCATTCTCGCCGACGAGATGGGTCTCGGCAAGACCGTCCAGGTCGTCGCCTTGCTTTCGAGCTTCATCCAGGACAGCCCCAAGGTCTGGCCCTTTTTGATCGTCGTCCCAAATGCGACATGCGCCAACTGGCGCCGCGAGATCAAGAAGTGGGCGCCTGACCTCCGCGTCGTGGCATACTACGGCGGAAGGGTCTCGCAATCCCTGGCCCTGCAATACGAGCTGTTCCCCAACGGGACGAAGACCATGAAGGCACACGTGGTTATCATGTCCTACGACTCGGCCAAAGACAATGACACGCGCCTCCGATTCGCCAACACCAAGTGGGCCGGCTTGGTCGTCGACGAGGCACAGGCCCTCAAGAACGACGAGAATACGCTGTACAAGGCTCTCCACGCCTTGCGCATTCAGTTCAAGCTGCTGCTTACCGGAACGCCTCTTCAGAACAATAAGCGTGAGCTGTTCAACCTCCTCCAGTTCATCAACCCGTCCGTCCGAGCGGAGCGTCTCGATGAGCAGTTTGCTCAGATCACGTCGGAGAATTTGCCGGAGCTGCACCGTTTGATCCGCCCGTACTTCCTTCGCCGGACCAAGGCCGAGGTGCTTACTTTCCTGCCGCCCATGGCCCAGATCATCCTGCCCGTCAGCATGACCGTCCTGCAGGAGAGACTGTGCAAATCCATTCTGGAACGCAACCCCGAGCTCATCCGGTCCGTCTTTGTGCAGGGCAAGATGAAGGCCCACGAGAGGGGTAGTCTGAGCAACATCCTGATGCAGCTGCGCAAGTGCCTGTGTCACCCCTTCATCTACAGCCAAGCCATCGAGGACCGAACCACGTCGGCGGAGCTCACCCGGCGCAACCTGGTGGAGGCTTCATCGAAGCTCATGCTGCTCGAGATTATGCTGCCCAAGCTGAAGGAGCGCGGTCACCGCGTGCTGCTGTTCAGCCAGTTCTTGGACCAGCTCACTGTCCTCGAGGACTTTTTGGCTGGCCTGGGCCTGAGACACGAGCGCCTCGACGGCAGCCAGTCGAGCATGGAGAAGCAGAGTAAGATCGACGCATTCAATGCCCCCGACTCCGACATCTTTGTGATGCTGCTGTCCACGAGGGCCGGCGGCGTGGGCATCAACTTGGCCACCGCCGACACGGTCATCATCCTCGATCCCGACTGGAACCCGCACCAGGATATCCAAGCGCTGTCGCGTGCTCACCGCATTGGCCAGCGCAAGAAAGTGCTCTGCTTCCAGCTCATGACAGTGGACTCGGCCGAGGAGAAGATCCTCCAGATCGGCCGCAAGAAGTTGGCCCTCGACCATCTGCTGATCGAGACCATGGACAACGAGGAGGAAGCGCCCAACGACGTCGAGTCTGTGCTCAAGCACGGCGCGGCTGCCCTGTTTGGCGAAGGTAAAAAGAAGGATGCCATCACTTACGATTCGGCCGCAGTCGACAAGCTTTTGGACCGGTCGATGGTAGAGGAAACCAAGACCGACGAGGACAAGTCGGCGGAATCAGCGTTTTCCTTTGCTCGCATCTGGGCCAACGACGAGGGCGCACTCACAGAGAATCTGGACGAGACGGAACAGACTATGAACCTGGGCGTCTGGGATCAGATCCTCGAGCAGCGCGCGGAGCAGGCCCGGCGGGAGGCGGAGCGCAACATGGAGACGCTCGGCCGCGGAGGACGGCGCCGTGGGGTAGGTCATGATACACGCGTGTTTGCAGATGCATCGCTAACAATGATAGGCTGCCAACTATACCGGTCCTCGGTTCGAGTTTGACGAAAACCAGGAGGCACCTGTGGCAGACAGCGAGGCCGATGTCGACGGCGATTTCGTCGGCAGCGACAAGAGCGGGGCCGAGTCTAGCGACGAGGAAACCGCGCGAACGGGTGAGTCTACGCCGAACGGGACTAACTCGCGTAAGGGGCATCAAGGTACGAAAATAAAGTCTCCGTCCAAAGCTGCGGCGCGGGGTGCCAGTCGCACTCCAACCACGCCCAAAGCCAAAGTTGGCAAGCAAGCGGCACCCAAAACAAGTAGCTCACGCAAAAGGAAGCAGACTCCGAGCCAGACGACAGCGAAACCGCCAGGATCCGGCAAATCCCCGACGACCTCGACGCCAAAGCAGCCAAGGGCCAAAAACCCACTACAGCCGCTGTCCTTCGGCCCCCGCCAGCCCAAGGCTCCCACCAAGTTGCCCAGGCAACCCAAAACGCCGGCCAGTGCTGGTTGTGCAAAGACGCAAAGTCGTTGGCCCGCCACCAAGCTGCCATTGCAGCCTCTCGAGATGGAACCCCAGCCGCAACCCCAGCCGCAGCCACAACAGCCGGTCACGCCCGCGGAGGACCCAAGCCCATCCAACGAGACCTTTCCGGCGCCGGCGGGCTCGGCCTGACCGGTAACAACAGGCCAGCCACCATCCCAATCCACAGCACAACCCCCATCCCCGTCCCCAAGATCCCCGTCCACCGCGCTCCCAACGTCACCACCACCACACCCTTCCTCACTACAACCGGGACACCCCCAACCAACTTCACCACCGCCCAACCGACCTTCCGTCCTGCCGCCTTCCAACCACCATTCTCGCCAGCACCACCGTCACCCGCAACAACAACACCAAAACCATCCACGACCACAACCACAACAACAACACCAACCTCCAAAATCGAAGTCCACCTCCCCGCACAGCCGTGCTTCGTCTGCCAGTACATGCACCCGGACACATGGGAGTGTCCCGAGATGCAGTCGGAAGTGCAGCTGCGGCTGGCCATGGACCGGCTGCGGCAGGCGAGGGCCAGGGCGGGCGGGGTGGTCAGTGGGGCGGCGGGGGGCGCGATGCTGGCGAAGAGGTGGGCGTTTTTGATGGGGAAGTTGAGGGGGATTAGTGGTGGTGGTGGGGGGTGGTGGGGGTGGGAATGGGGGTGCGAGGGGGAGTGGTGGGAGGTAATTGTGGGTGGGTGAAGGCGTATGAGGGGGGGTGAGGGGGGGTGAGTGAGGGCGGGAGGAAGTTGAGGGGGTGAAGGTATGGAAGGGTGCGTTTGGTGTCTGTTTTTTTGTTTTTGTTTTTCTGCTTTACGGGAGGGGGATGGGTCCCTCTCTACTCTGCCATATGGCAAAGGAGATGAGTTGTGCGGTGGGAGGGTTGGTTGGAATAGCATGGCGGATGTATGGATATGAGAGGCGGGTTCCTGCCCGCAACATGGAAAGAGAGGCGTTGAAGGGTTCATCACCCGTCAGTCTCACTGGAGGATTGCTACTTTCGAGGATAAACCGCACTGGGAGTCCACTGCTTTCGGGGATAGACTGCGGTCGCAGCACCGCGGAGAGAGAGACATTGATTTCTGGGAGGCATCGCATTCGGTGGGGAGCATAGCGCCGGGTTTGGTTGCTTTCATGGGCGGCGGCGGCGGATAGCATTGCATCAGGGGTACATACTTGCCTCACCAATCAATACACGGATGCCGACTGCATCCTGATTTCGTCATACCTTTTTTTTTCTTTTCAAACTCCCCGGTATTGCTACTCTGCTTGGCTTTCTTGTTTGCGATACATACCCGCGGGCATCGGCCCGTCTGTTTCTAGAAGGCGGGTGGGCGTTTGCGTTTGCGGCCGGGTGGCCAACTCTGTGGGCCGGCTCAGGGGTGTCAACAAATCTGGAGGAAACAATTGATGCCACGACCACGCGCAACATCCATATCGGATTGCGCTTTTGGGGGTGATATGGTTGCGGGCGGAGGGAGGGGAGTATGCCACAAACCGCTAAACGCCGAAATACAATCTCTCAGTTAGCATTTTCATCGACGACTGGCCAAACGAACGGGAAAGCCACAGACCTGCGTTGCCGATGTGGCTTGCATGGCATCGCATGAGCCTGACATGGGAGGCTTGCATGGCGTTGCCGTGGCCATAACCGGCAAAAAAAGGATGGAAATGCACAGCTGGCCTGCAGGTATGTGTGCGTATGCCGATCCGTTTTGCTTCTGCTCCGCTTTCTTGGTATACGCTACAGATCTGGCGAAACTCTCACTCACGGTGACTGGTTTGGTTGTTACTTTGTATGCCTAAACTGCTCCCGTTTCTAGCCTCGTTGTTTCGCTGTCTTCGCCATGTTTCTGTTTCTGCCCCTGCCCTCCCTTCTCGTGTTGTACATGCTCGTTTACTGCCCTGTCCAGCGACTGTTTGTCACGTGGCGGAGAGATAGAGGCAAGCCCCGGTGTTGTGAATGCAGGTGTCCGGGTCAGAATGCAGGGAACCTTATTTGGGCTCTGGAGGGCGTTTGCAATCGCTGTTTGCCGGTTGGGTGTTGGGGGCTGGTTACGATGTTAAGAGCGGGCTGGATTGGAGAGAAACAAGCGGCGGGAAAAGGGAGCGTCGTGTGAGAGCAATACGCGGGGTGTGTATGCTATTGATAAAGGGGGTATCTGGCCTAAATGAGAGGAGGGAAAGCTTTCAAAAAGGCCCCCAGCCTTAGCCATTAGGAATGCCATCACTAGGTCTAACGCCGCCATCCTCACTGCTGAAACTACCACCAGTCTTTTCCTGTCTCACCCTTCTCTGTCAACTCTCACGGCGCACCAACTCAGCCCTGTTCTTCGACACCAAAGACCGACAGACGTAGGCGCTGCGGTGCTGTTGTGACACCCGTGTTACGCCTTGCCGCAGGCCACTCCAGTCAAGTGCCGTCAACGGTTTCGCAACACCCGCCCCGGCGTATACACCACCCTTACTCTCCCTCCTCACTGCCCTTCGGCAGACCGAGTGACGACGGACCGAACACGACCCCGGCCGTTACAAGACAGGCGGTAAGGAAAGGCAGCAGGTGCCCTGTGCCGGTGCTGTCTGGCTCTACTCTTCCGTTTGCACTTCTTGTCAGGCCCGCTTTTGCCGCCTTGGGCCCTCCGCCCTTTTCGATCTGCTTCTCTGCCTTATGCTGGTCGCCTTTGCCGATCAGCTCAGCTCATACATTGTTGCTCGCGGCTTTCCCTCGACTTCACTCTTAGATTTAACGCCATCCCCCTTTCCTTGCTCTCAAAACCCATACCACCTTACTTGCTACCATGGACGCCCTGCGGGAACTGAGCCAGGCTGCATCCCCCGAAAAGCAGCACCAGGAGACCTCCGAGGTGTCTTCTAGATGCTCTGGCACGCCTTCTACCTCCTCTGAAGAGGCTTCTAAGTCCCACACACAAAGCCCCGGGGGCGGTTCTCCATCCTCGTCCTTGGCCGAGAATTACAAATTCACCCCTGACACGACCTCTTCCACCATCGACATGCCCCCTTCTTCCCCGCTCGAAGCTCCTCCCTTCAAAATCATCACAGATTCACTGCCCTTGGCCCCATCAAACTCACTCGGCGCCCCGTCTTGGCCGGCCATGTCTCTCCACGACCACCGACGCGATCAGAGCCTAAATGAGTACTACACCCAGCTCGAGATCCTGATGATGGATGAGGAGGAGGTGGATGAACATACCAACAATACCGAAAACGTTATGGACTCGGTCGAGTCTTCAAACGCCCAGTCCACCATCCACCACGACGAGACAACCCCTGATCTTGGGCACAGACTTGGGGCCAGCGACGGCGCAGGCACTGCTGACGACCGTCAGCGTTACCGACACGGGCAGTTTGGTGGTTTTAGACCCTTTTCCCGTTTCGATCAGGCATCGCGCCCCATCGCCTCGAACAACTGGCGGGCCAAGAGCGCTACCGAGTCTGGTACTCGGCCTCAGCCTCAGCTACCCTCTCTTATGACGGGTAACAACGCGAACAACATGGTCAATTCACTCTCGCCCATCACTTCGAGTAGCTATTCACACCCCTACACGCCAAATCGCAGCCCCATGACGGCACCCCTCAACGCCAACATGACAGGTTTTGCCCACCCAAACCCAAATCCGAACCTGACCCCGAGCCCGCACCCCCCGCCCACGCCAGTTTCATTGCCGACCCCGACCTTGATGGCATTTTCAGGGCGCAGCACTGGTCACGGTCATGTCCACCACTTGTCTGGGGGCGGTTTTGGGACGCCGAACATCCACCCACCCACATCTGCGGGTGGAATCACCAACATGGCTCCCATATCCGTCCAGGCCGACTCGATGGCCCTTCAGATGAACAACCCGGGACTACACCACACAAGAACACTGAGCGGTAGTTACACCAGCAACAATAACGGTGTCATCCAGATGAACGGCGGCGGCGGTTACGGCAACGGACAAGACCAAGGCACGGCTACCTTCCCAGTGACCGTCTCCGACAACACGCTCGGCTACTGCTTCATCCGTCCCAACGGGACCCGCACCCGTCTGGTGCCCGTTGACATGCTGCCGTACCAGCTTCAGGGTATTCCGCCGCAGGAGACTGGGAATGAGCGGCTAGTTTCGCTGCCTGTGCCAGCGGGAGTTGGGAGTGACGGGCGCTCGACCAACAATCAGGTGTTGAGGGCGGTTGTAAGTTTGCTGATGCGCGTTTTAGACTTTGCTGCGATGGTATTAACGTTATCTTAGACTTCTCCGAGCGGAAGCAGTGGTGGTGATGCTATTCAGGTATGCCCATTTGCGTCCCCTTTTCTCACCCATTCCTGTTTCAACCCCCTTTACATGTCTACCACCGTTCCTATCCTCCTCACCAACTTTTCCACCACACCCGCCCCATCTAGAAAGCCATTCACAGACACAAAACGCCAACACGTTCTCTCAAACAGTCCCACATCGACCGCATCCTCGCCACCCCCTCCGAACCCCAGCCCCTACCCCCAGCCTACCACCACCACCACCAGCACAACAACGACAACACCACCCACAGCACCAGCCATCTGGGCCACACCTCCTCCAACCCAGCGCAAAGCAACCAAGCCCAAACGCAAACATCTCTAACCCCCACCTCGCAGGACCCAAACAACCACCCGTCCCCCTCCCACATCACCATCAACACCTCCCCCACCACCCCCGTCCCCACCCCAATCAGCAATAAAAGAATCAAAGTCTACTGCGACAAGTGGGTGCACGAGGGCGTGTGCGCCTTCACCCAGCAGGGGTGCAAGTACAAGCACGAGATGCCGGCCGACAAGGCCACGCAGCACCAGCTGGGCCTGTTCCTCGGCTACCCGGTGTGGTGGAAGCGCAGGCAGGGGGAGCTGGCGCGCGTACAGCAGCAGCAGAAGCAGCAGCAGCAGCAGCAGCAGCAGGGTGGGTGTGAGCAGTCTCCTTCTTCGTCTTCTTCTTTTTCTTCTTCTTCTTCTTCTTCGGGTTCTTCTTCGGGGGCGGCCTCTGCTGAGGAGAGGGCGGTGAGGTTGTTTCTTGCTCCGCGGGGGAGGGCTGGTCTTGGGGGTCGGTTGGGTGGTAGAAATGGGGCTGGTTGTGTTTCAGTTGATGAGGAGGCTGGTGAAGGGGAGACGGAGGTGGCGAGCCCGACCGGGGCGCTCTCTGAGCAGGTCCCTCGTCGAGGTGCTGTCGTCAGCGGGGGTCTGGCTGCCTCGCGCTGGGGCGGCAATGTCGGCAACCTCGACGGTAACAACGGCGACGGAATTGAACACGGGTCTCCCAGGGAGAGACTCTTGCCGCCGTCCTGGCGGACTCCGTCTTCCGTCGAAGCCGCTCGGCGAGACCTTCATCCAAGGCTGCAGAGCTACGACGGCGCAGACCCCAACCCCGTTAGCAGCCACGAGCTAGCACTACACCGTCGCACCACGCCCGAACCCGAGCGCGGCATCAGACGGTTCATCGGCGCCACCAACAATACCACCAACACCCACGTGTCCACGCCTACCGCCTTCGCAACCCCCGACACCCGCCCCCGGCTCTGGGAGGAGCACCACTACGTCCGCCGCACCCTCCAACCGCAGCCACAGTCACCGTCACGGCCCCAAGGCCAACTCAGCAGCGGAGGTCCTGCCACCTGCCACTTTGGTAAGCTCTTCCATTCTTATACTCACCCCCATCCCCCTCCCCTCGTTGGTATAAAAATACCTCCCCATCCACAATTGGCAATCCCTGCCAAGCAATGACGAAAGGGGGACCCTGGGTGGGCGTCAACAAACACCCACCCCCCCCCCCCCAAAAAAAAGAACAAAAAAGAAAAGAATCAACCAAAAGCTAACCTACCACCTCCCCCACCAGCCCTCCACCACAAAACAGCAGCAACATCAACATTATTCATTATCAACAACAACACCGACATTCCCCTACGGGCCCCATTGCGCCGCCCCCACGCAACCCTCGATCAAACACCGCCACCGCCACCACCACCACCAACACCAGCGCCATCCGCCCCGCACGGGAAGTGCCCAACCCCTACGCCACCACACTGCTGCAGCCCAAGCCGCCCAGCGCAGCCCAAGCCGAAACCGGAACCGGAGCCGAACCTGCACCAGAATCTGCCGGCGCCGCTGCCAGGGCCAGGGCCAGGGCCAGTGCTGGTGCTAGTGCCGGTGGCGGTGCCGGTGAAGACGGGGATAGGGATAGCGGTAGGGATAGGGATAGCAATCTGCTGCTGCTGGGGCAGTTGGGGCCGTTGGCTGGCTAGCCTCTACCATCCCACGAGACGAGGAGAGGGGAGAGTTGACTGGCTCTGGCTGCCTGAGTTGGGCTGACTGACTGAGGTAAGGAGGTGAGCGAGTGAGTGGATTGGGGTGGGTACAGTCGTTGTGGTCGTCGTCGTTGTTGTTGTTGTTTCTAGTTCAGGTCAGTCCCGTCGAGTTGTGCTTTGTGATTTGGGTTGAGCATCAGATACTTGGCGAAAAAAAAGAGTTGGTGGAAGAGTAGGAGTCGGCGGCGATGCCCCTTTTCTTTTTTTTTCCTTTCTTTTCTTTTCTTTTCTTTTTTAGTCTTCTTCTTTCAGGAAAAGGGGGAGTCGTGCTTTCGCTCCTTGCCTAGATATTTATCATTGGTGTGTGGCGCTTCTCTTTTTTTGTTCTCCTTCCGTTGCCGTGCTTGGTAGAAGGGGTGTTGGTCAGTTGGTAGGCCTGTTGTTGAGGAGGGGGGCAATGGATATAGATGGAGAGGTGCGGGCTGTGGTGTTATGCAGAATAGGGGGAGCAGGGTGCGAAGATGGCAGTACCTTTTGCAACCATCTGCATTGCCCGCGATCTTGTGTACTAAACTTTGCTTAAATACCTAGCCGGAGTGGGTAGAATCGAGCGTCAACGTGAAGGGATTTCCGAGGCTGTGTATATCCAAGCAAGGTTACTACCTAGGCATCCGAGAGGTTCACCGAGGAGCCCTTACGATGTAAGAACCAGTTCATCAGGAGCAGTACTCAATCCATTTCCTGTGATGGCGTCTGATATAACGCTGCATCTAACTGTCGTTCACCCCTCCCCCCCTACCCCCTCCGTTTCCAAACACTAACATGGTGTCTTCCTTCATCTCGTTTGCTAGAATCTCTCACACACAGTTATTTACGTCTCTTGTAACCCTGTTCATTCTGCCTGCCTTCGGCTTCTTAAGTTACGCGATGTATAGGGGTATGTGCCTGAGCGATAAGAGGGGTGGTCTTTAGATGCTAGGCAGATAGCAGGTAGTGTGGCTTTCTTTTATCTTTCCCCTGTCTACGCTGCTGTGGAACGTAGACAGGGCTGTATGATTGACATCGCTATGCTATCTGTCAAACAGTGGTTCCGTTTAGGTCTTGACACGCGCTCCGCCTTCCTTCGCCTGTTTCTTTTCCATCCCTACCTCCTTAAATTGCCCAAACCTATTCTCTCGAGCCACCCCGCCGATAATTCGGTTTTGAGCTGCTTAACAAAGTCCTTCAGCGGGTCTTCTCGTTTCCAAATAGCCGCCTCTTCGGATCCGATCCGATGGTCCGCCTTCTCCAGTAGATTGAGTGTGTCCTGTCTCTCGGGAAGGGTCACATAGGTCAACACCACCTTATGCCCAACGCTGTCCCACTCGAGGTCCCACCACCAAGACTGGTTCGTCAAGGCCGAATAAAGACGGGCCCGAAGGGTATCCTGGACGAGACAGGTACGTCGCAACCTGCTGGCCACGCCGGCGAGGTGGCGGCGTTGCATCTTCAAGGCCGAGTAGAGCGGGTAGAAGGCGGCGAGAGCACGGTCAAGGGTCCGGGTCCGAGCCGTGATGTCGTCCTCGTAGACGTAGCGGTTAATAAGACGTTTGAACGGCGATATGCTGTCACGCCTGTGCTCCTCGACCACGGTCGCTCTCACCCGCTCGGCGGCTGCCGCCACAGACGACAGAAACTCCTCGGCAATGCAGAGGGCATCCCTCAGGTTCGTGATGCAGTCCTGGCCGCAGCATTTCGAACCGATTCCGATAAATTGGAAGGGTATGACACAGGAAGGGATGAAGTCACGCCCCCGACTGCCGCATCGCCCCTCGGAAGTCTCCCTCAGACGCTCCCCAATGGGACACATGCCGTCGAACCCCATCCACAGGCCGCCATCCTTGCGCACATCCAGCCCTATTTTTAGACCCGGCGGGACTCTCAGTGATTTGGTAGCCCACGTCGTCAGACCCACGTGCATTTTGTCAACCTGGGCCGATGTGCCAGAGGATGGTCGTAGGCTGGCGAGGTATCTGGGAAGAGTGTAGCCAGGGATGCGATGGCGACTTGCGTGTTGGAGCAGTTCGCGGGGGTCGGGGGGCTGGGCGGATCCAACCTTTGGCATACCGGCGGCGCCGCCGCCGCCACTGCCGTGCCTGCTCCCGGTCGTTGCTTGGGCGGATTCTTCAGCCTCTGACCGAATGCGAAACGCGAGACGGCCCAGCAAGTTGCGGCCGTCGGACGGCCACGCCCGCCCCATGGCGTAGACATCCTCCCAGCTCCCGCTTGCACGGACCAGGGAGATGCGCTCCGGTTCTGGGGGCTCGGCCAGGGATTCATTCAAGTTGTGGTAGTCCGGGTGCGTGGGGGGCAGACCAGAAACCAGCAGATCACTGGCAGCGCGGATGAGTGTCGGCCAAAGCTTCTCCATCAACCCCAGCGTAAGAGTGGCGTTGACGAGGCCAACTAGAAGCGGCGCGTGCTTGGGGATCCGGGATGCTACATCGGGCCGAGGAAGACCAGGCGCGTCGAGAGTGAATGTGATGTTAGAGGTGCGGTGGGGTAGGAACAGGTGGATGGATGCGTTCATGGAGCTCTCGGCAATGGCTACAAAATCGTCGGTGAGCAAGGAGGGAGAGGCGACCATGCGGATGTTGTCAGGGCGAAGCTTCGAGACCCAAGTGTTGACACGGGGATCACCGGCCCACCCCCGACTGAGCCACCACCCCCAGCCGAACCAGACCCAAAAGGCGGCCACCATGCTGGCGGTCAGAAGTCCGAGAAGAGTGCTTCGGTTGCATACGCGTGGCTTCGGGGTGTGTGGCGCGTCCTGGGACACGGACGGCTGAGCATTGCCGGGGCGGGGCGGGCGGCCGTGCCTATGTGAGCGGGGAACTGATGCTGCCTGGGTGTCGACGCGGTGTCGACCGCGGCTAGGTTTGCCACTGCTAAGGGCATTATCAATACTGCCTTCCTCGTTGACTTCATCGTGACTTAGGTCGTAGCTGTCGTCGTGGCTGTCGTCGTGGCTCTCACGGTTGCCGCTGCCGCTGCCGCTGCCAACGTTGCGAGCACGGCGGCGGCGGCGGCGGCGCAAAGGCCGCTCTGGCCCGGTGGGCGGAGACATGGACGATGTGATGGCGAGATGGTGATGGTGATGGTGATACCTACCTAGGTGGGTAGAGGAGTGTTCCGATGAAGCGGGACAGTAGAGGGCGTGCCGCAACTTTCAAAAATTGAGTTGGGGGGCGAGCCCATGGAGGTCGGTGTAAAATGATTGCAAAGGGATCTCGAGAACCTGAACCTAGAAGAGCGAAAATGGCCAGAAAGGAATCCATCCTCTTTGAGCTGAAGACAACCTGCAAGTCCCTTGGCCATACACGTGCACAGTGAAGGTACTAAAGGTACATGCATACCTAGGCCCAATTAAGAGCGGATGTGGCAGAGAAAGAAAAGTCAAATAGGAGAAAGGTACGAATAAGATTTGGCACATATGCTGCCGGATCCGGAAATCACCTAGCTACCTATGTAGTTATTGTATCCAAGTAGGTAAGGTATGTGCATACATGTGTGACAAACCCCCCCATCACCCCATCACCCCATCACCCCATCACTCGTAGTACAGCTCCCGGAGTTTCATGCGCCACTCTCCAGCCTTCACCACCATCTCCTTGGCCAAAACTTGGAGTTCGGCCATGGGCCATCCGGACCCTCTAGACAAAGGGCCCAGCCACTTCTTCAATGTTCCTTCAATCCAGATCCTCTCCATCTCCATCGCTGCCAGCAACTTGCTGAGCTCCTCGATACCGTTAAGAAATGCGTCGTCGAGCATGGTCCCCGCCCCCCTGCCGTATGGAGGTCGCGGACAAACGAAGCCACCTCGGGATCCAAGCAAACGGGCGCTGGGCCTCGGGACGCGCCGGGTTGAGAGCCGAACACATTCTTGTTCAGGAGTTTGATGGAAGAATTTGCCCGGTCCGATGACTAGAACAAGGTTTTCGTTGTCGAAATCATCCAGATTCACCATGATTTCGAGAAGGTTTAGCTGCTTTACCCGAAAGTTTTCGGCGTCTTGACGAAATGTGGCATGCGGCCGGTCGCTATCCTCGATGAGCCTGGAGAGGGAGTCCAACTGGCGTCTATAGTTTTTCCGGTGCTGCCTCAGCCCGGAACCCCAGAAGACCGACATGAATTTGGACTCATGTGTCTTCCCGCTACCCTGGTCGGCGACAGATCCAGCAACGCGGCTGGCGCGGACGAGGACATTGTCAATGTACTGGATATCGGCAAAAAACCAGTCGACCATGGCGGCGCTCTCCTTGCTGGCATTGAGTGCAATGGCCGGCCAGTTTTCCCGCAGAGCCTTCTGCTCCCTCAGCCCCTCCCCTTCTTCCATCAAATTGAGGAAAGCCTTGTTCACCATCGACGCGACGCCTTGTACGGATTGCGAAGCAGCTGCCAGCACTGCACCCTGGGTCTCCAGTAACTCTGCGACCGCCGTCATGCCCGTCGGGAAGGGGGACACGGTTGTCGGCGTCGCGAGGATGGCAGCGGGAACCGTCGGGGGCTCGGACTGAGCAGGACGCCAGTGCAAGAAGCTGGCCGCGAGACAGGCCGACCGCAAGCACTAGTATGGCCCAGACCCTCGTGGTATAGGCTCGATAGTACCGACGCACCGCGCTAGAGGTCGCCGTGCCGACGCCGCCGGACTTGCTGGCTCTCCGGTAAACGGCAACCCGCTGAGAGGGGGGTGCCTGCTCTGCCATCGATACTTCTTGCTCCGTCCTCCCGGTTTGTTCCGGTACTTCGTCCACGGTCGGTGACACACTTGCCACTCCTTCGCGGCGAGAAAGATGGGTTTGCTGGTAGAGTCGGGAGGGCGCAGGAAGGAGTGGGAAGGGCGTTGTGGCGGTCAAGAAATTTGGAAAACCAGCTGAGATCGGGTTGAGACAGGTTCGATGCCGCCAATGGACGAGAGGATGCCGGGGACTCAGGATGGTGGTTACCAACGCCATGAAGACGAAGGGGATCGGAGCCAAAGCAGTTAAGTTATACGCCTCAAATGACAAAGTAAAAAAAAAAAAAAAAGAAAACACCGCAGAAGTTTCCAGTACCTCGTGATACTTCTAGATTCGTCAAAAAGGCCCGTGAGGCATACACCGACACAATGAGAAAAGTCACGCCACGGCGGACATCAAAGCGAAGACAGCGCCGTCGCCAACATATCCCGTCCAATCTTGGCCCCTGCGGGATCTGGCATGAAAAGATGCAGGGCGCTGGGCTTTCCACATCCTGGCAGCGGGGTAAAACAAACGCTGGAAAGGGGTAGGAAAGGTTGTGGTGATTTCTGATCTGTCCCACATCAGCCCGGTTTTCTAGCCAGTCATCAATTTGCCCGACAGTTAGTCACAAACTACATGGCGTCTTCTCCCGGGTCCGTTTCAAGCCAAAATCCGAGAGCTCGCACACATTGCTTTGTGGCTTTGATCGCTTGGGGTCTAGGCCATGACTGGCTTGACCGCCGGAAAGTTGTCAGATCTCAAACCAGGGGTGAAGAAAGGGGGGGGGGGGTTGTTGAGAAAGAAATCAAGCCGACCGGCATGAACCGGGGGCACTGTGTCGACCTATCTCTTTTGTCAGCAGCAATCCCCCACAAGTAAACAAAACGGGGGACTGGGATCGCCCGCAGGGCTGCTCTCTGCACGCACCTAGACGCCTGCGGCTTCTCTATTCGTGCCCAAGTCCTAAGTAGGCGGCCCCTGGATCGGATCCACGAAGAATAGCACTATGCATT